ACCGTATTTTGAGGTGCGAACATAAAACTAAAACAGCTCAAGTTGTTTAAAGTACGTCTTACATCAAAGTAAGAAAAATTGCATTGTCCTAATCACCACAATGGCTAAAATGAACTCAGATGACGGCTCAGATGACTAGATTAGGTAACGTGTGACTTACCGTTGTCTAATATACGGAACTAACGCTGTGTACACCTCTTTCCGGGACGTCTACAAGATCAGCGACCTTCTGCTCGTGTTCGGAACCAAGGGGCGAGACCGCTGAGCCGGATTACCAGCGCGCGGCGCCTAGTGCGGGTATTGCGTCCGGATTGTTTACCGACGAACAGATGGGCACGCAATTTAAGGATGACTGACCATCTCTCTCACGTGATTACTAGCTCCGGACTCAGGAACGAATAGGGCGTGGCTGTCGGTGCTTATCGTCTCTTACTTTGCACCAAGCAATTGCCCGTTTTCCCTTCCGTCAGAGCGTGTTAGTTTCCTCCCTCTCGGACACCTGGTCTCTGTAGTTGCAAAGTTTCTGGTTGTTGTTGGCGTTGGTATTTTTTTTTCAGCCTGCGGTGCATGTCGTAATGGAATTTGCTGTGAATTTCATATGGTCTGCCCTTTTTCAGGCGCGGTTTTTGGTCACCGGGATCCGCCCATGCCCTTGGGACGAACCGACTATCCTGAAGGCCCTGCAGTACCGCTGCAACACATCGCGGAAGACCTACGAGTGGCTTCGGAGTCAGGGTCGCCCGCTGTCTGGCCTTTCTTCGCTACAGTCGTGGCTGTCTGACTTCTGTCTGGCACCTGTCTCCTGTCAGCAACAGGCTCAGCTACTCCAGAAGATGATGGCCAATCAGCCGGGGATGTACCGCCAGCGTGTGGTCATGTTCGACGAGATGGACGTCATGAGCCAGGCAGCATACGACCACGGACGGGACCAGGTGCTGGGGCCGTTCCACCACCTGCAGGTCATTATGCTGGCCGGAATCTTTGCTTCTTGGAAGCTTCCCTTCCTGGTCTGCTTTGATCGTGCCGTCACGAAGGAGATGTTGAGGTCTACCATCACCGCAGCGGAGGCAGCCGGCGCTTGCGTCGTCGCGACCGTTTGCGACCAGGGCGACTCTAACCGGGGACTCTGGAAGGAGCTGAGCATCCGTTACAACGGGGAATGTCCTTTGCGAACCCAGCCGACAGCCGCAGGTGTGCTACAAGAGCCAAGCGTCAAAAATTGTCATTTACTCCTGTCACGTCAGGAAACCTACTGCCGTGATCGCACTCCTTACCGTTGTACACGGGCAATGCACACAAACCCAATCATTATGCTAATGCTGGTAATTCGTTTTCAGATTAATATCTTATTACAAGAGCAAGACTGCAATATTTCCAGCTATTTGACAACGGTCTAATGATTATGTGTGATTTTGATAATTGTGTATGAAATGGTCGCAAAGTGAATGTGTGCTCCAGGCGAAATACTCATGTGATGTAACGAAATTCAGTGACATTTGGTTTTCATTTTCGTGTCATTTTATTCCGCAGCGTAGAAGGTGATGTTGGCAACAAATCGCTATTGGAATGAAATAACATGTTCTTTTTTCTCCAGGCAGATGTGGGTGCTTTTGGACCTGCCGCACAGCATGAAATGCCTCGGAAATAACATCCTCGACAATGGCCTTCACACCAGCGGCGGCAGACACGTCACCAAGGAGCTGAGGGAGCAAGTGGTGAAGGTAGCTGGCAGCTTTGAGTATCGGCTGATGTGTAACTTGAACATCAGCAGAGATGTGGAGGTGAGGCGCAGATGCTGTGGTCATATATCAAGACCAATGGGACTCGTGCGTGTATATATTATTGGACTCGGTGTCCTTTGAATCACGGAAAGCACAGATATGTGTAAATACATCTGGTGGATATGTATTTGCATGCTAAGAACTGGCCACGATCTGGGTTTCTTGTGGAATCTTAATCAACAGAATGTTTTTAACTCGTGATTGTCGGTACCCTAATGACAGACTCGGCAGCGCGTTCTTTATAAAAACTGCAGTAAGACTTCTATCTTTTAAACATGTTGCCTGAACATGAGAAGAGCTCACCAAGTGCCACTTTTTCGGTTCTTCAGTTGGTTTGCACTTAAACCCCAAGCCAAGGCTCGTACGCATTGGTTTGTCGCTAGCACTACGCTAATAAAGCGGTCAATATTTCGCCGGATTTGGTCGTCTTTTTCATAAGTAGGTTGCTTTTTATTATAAATATATTATACTCTGCTGCAGGTATCGGGCATGTCGCAACAGAAGATGCAGCCGGCTTTGCAGCAAGTTAACAGCACCATGGCTACCTGTCTAGAGCGTTACTTCCACGGTTCCCAGGAAGAGGCCTGCGTTGCTCGGCTATTTGACGCGACCTGCGACGTGCTGAACAGCATCCATCTTGGAGACAACAAGCCACTGCGCAAAGGCTACGAGACTACCGCGGAACAGGAGGCGGTGCTGGACACAGCTGTCCAGGAGCTGCTGGCCAGGCGTTTTGAGTCGGCGAGCGTCGTGTACCCCTTTCAAAAGGGCCTGGTGGTGACCATTCGGTCTGTTCGCGGCCTGCTAGGCAATATGCGCGCGCTATTCGGGGTCGACACCTACCTACCTACCCGGCGCCGGATCCAAGACCGATTAGAGGGGTTCTTCGGCATGGTACGTGAAAGGAGTGGCACCAACTCCAACCACAACTCTGTGGACGCCATCGCCAACATGCGCCACCTGGCACTCCTCTTCGGACTCAACATTGGTGTCAGCCCGCTGGCCAAGCCGGGAAGCATGGCGCACCCCATCGACGCCGAGCCAGAGGCTGTGCCTGACGAAGCAGACCAGCTCGGGGAGCTCCGCGAGGCGGCCAGAGAAGGCATGCCGCCGGAGATGGCCGAGGAGATGCGCCAGTTCGGTACGTCACCTGTCTGCCACGACGAGACGCACAGCTGGGACGACAGAGACGGAAAGCCGGAACATCACCAGGGCGTAGAAGACATGCGGGCTCTTCTCCAAAAGTATCAGGACACTAGACCGACGACGGACGGCTTGACATCCCCCACGTCGGGAGCCGCTGACAAGGGAACCGGTGCGTCTGCCACTGACAACGCCATGGCGTTCGTGTGTGGGTTCGTTGCGCACAAGGCGGCGGACCAATCCCTGGGCGCTCCGTCTTCCCAGACGGAAGAAGGGCCAGAGCCAGTCTCTGTGGCTAAGGCTACGCAGTCTGGGTGGCCTCACGGTGCCTACACAGACATCCTACGAGGATTTTCGCCGGATGGAGGAGGCGTTCTGCCTGCACAACGCCATGGAGCCGCATCAGCTGAGCAGAAGGCCGAAGGTGGTCGCCGAATTTCTAGCTGTTCTGCAGTCAAAATTCCCCACCACGCCTCCTGCTGCGCTGAAAGCCTTTGCCCGGATACGGACATTTATACGGATGCGGACGGTTCATGAGGTCAGACGGGCCGAGTCTCTGGCAAAGAGGGCGGCGAGGAAGCGCCGGCATTGGGCTCAGGGAGTGCTGGGGTGTCCCCCACCTAGCTTTGTGCCTGGCTCCGCCTTTATGTCCGCCAGTGAGCAGAGCCTTACGGCCGGCACGCAGTGTTCCGTGCAGGTACCTCTTTCGTTTGTGTCTGTTGGTTTGCTGATTGTTGTATCGTGTGCTGTTTGTGTGTTCATGAAGCGGCACTGGCATTGTGATGATGTATTGATATCACTTCTAAGCATAAGGAAAAACCTTGTTGAGCGCGCTGTCAGTTGCGTCACTCGAGCCTTTAATGATCCTGGTGATTGTTGTTTTCTGTCCCGTCGGTTTATAAATATGAAAATAAATAAAAAGTATATATACATAGTTATAAAAATGTCAGAAGAGATCCAAACATTTCAGTATATCGCAGTCATCGTCCATATTCCGTGTGTTTATTAACTCCACTCAATGGAAAAAGCATTGGCGGTGACGCGATTCGATCCCACGTATGGGCATCGCAGCGCGTGCATGGGTCTGCCTTTCGCCTTATAGCTCGAAAACGAGCGCCATGGCGCACACTTTTGACCTCGGAAACCGAAAGAAAATTGTTAAAGCTTTATTTGTATGAACTTTGTATGCATATATATGTTCAACATTTAAAAACCGTGAGCCTGAAGAAGGGCATTTTAACATGAGACCCCTAAGGCTAGTTGTGCAATGTGCGCCGTTGCTGTCATATTTTACACTAGCCATTGGACGCCCCCCCCCCCCCCCCCCCACTCCCCGGGTCGTACCAAACCCAGGTTTTGCTTGCACTAATCAAGGGCACGAATAATTTCCGTCAAAACCGCTGCCGTATCACTGGCTGCCATCTTTGCTACCATACCTGCGCCACCGCCGCTGAGCAGCCGTTGTTCGCCGGACGCATGAGCGCGGCGGCCTGGTATAGGTAGCAGGGCAGGTTGGTATTGCGCAGGTCTTAAATTGTTTCGAAAATGTTTTGGCTGGAGTGTATGCTTTGCACTATGTGACACCGTATGTGTTGCCTTGTATGTATCTCACTTCGAAATTGGGTTCCCATAGGACGGGGCCCGTACTGAATGTTCTCCATTCCACAGCGACCACGGCATATGACGGGAGGAACATTATTAAACGGAATATCTGAAAGTTATTTTTACAAGAGATATTGCTTTAAAATTTATGATTCCACACTGTTATGATAAAGCATAAACCCGCAAGTTAAATCAGGGATGATTATTAACAACATTGCTATGATCTGTACTCTGCCTCACCCAACATGCAATGCCTGATTTTCCCCAAATGTTGCATGATGATTAAAGCAAAAGGATATTTGCACATGTCACACATCCATTTCACAGGTGCCATCTCAGCGATCTTATGTCCAGTGCTTTAAGTGCAAGCATTCTCTGAGAGTATGGGTATAGCACCCAGGCAGCCTGAGGATTGTGTATTTTCCTTGGATTTCATATAAGCTAACCAAACTCAACCCTAAAATGGGATGAACACAATAGGGCAGGGTCCATCACATGCTCAGCAGACTTAAATAAATCAATAATCAGCACCATGCTTTGCAACTGTCATGAATTGCCAGCCTGCAAAAGTTCATTTTATGTCAGATGGATCCTTCCAGCAGCACCATCAACTGAGCCTGCCAGTGTTATGCTTGGTCACGGCATTGACTCTGGATGCTATCACAGGTTTGGAATTGTGATTGCTTTATTTTCAAGTGTCCAATGATGTGGTGCAGATAATGTGTTTTATATAGACAGTCACATATTCTAATATCTCATGTACATTTCCTATTAATGCCTTGTGATACTGTAGTCATGTGATACCTTTTTGCATGGTGAAACATACTGTGTTTTAGATATGGGAGAAGCATATTTGTGACACACCTTAATCTGCCCAAAAGAAAATGGTGTTGCAGGGGTACCATGCAATATGCTTTCAACCCATGCAATAACATTGATAGTCATTATGTCATTGATACCTATGATTGAATGAAGTTATATGTCTTGGGATTAAACCTTGTTGAGGGCTATGTCTCTGAGACCTCTGCTGTATGTGCGCACAAGATGGGAATCTTTAGACTTAAGTTTTCTCAATTTTGGTGTGTTTCATGACATTCAGGCTTCAAAAAATGCATGTTGCACCAATGATGTGTGGTGTAGCTATGTTATCTCCCCAACAATTCAGCAACCATTTCATTGCCATATAGAAATAGTTAATCTGAGTGCTCAACAAGTTGGCACCAATGTCAGTCCATAAAATCATTGCTCCAACAGATTATGATGCATCAAAGGCAATGGCACGCAAAATGCTCCCAAAACATTTGTTGGGGAAAACAAATTGTATACAAATTTGGCTCAGTTTCACATGGCACATGTTTAGCACACACTGATGTAGGGTTCAGTGCACTAATGTTGTGTAAGTGTTGAGTATGGTGAATTATTTTTTTGCAGACCACCTTCACATATGTATTTATAGTACATATGAGTTTTAGGAACTTATATATTTTGACATGAAGACAAGCTTTACACACACGCACACGCACACGCACACGCACACGCACACGCACAGCACATGCACACGCACAATATATATATATATATATGTATATATAGATATATAGATATATAGATATATATATATATATATATATATATATATATATATATATATATATAATATGTATATATCTGACTGAATTTATTTATATATATATATATATATAAATTCACAATACACATTTACTTTCCATCAAAAAATATAAAGTAGGTATTTTCCTTCTCTATCTGAATGTTGTCAGACAATATGTTCTTAAAGTGAATGATCACACTTGTACTCACGACATCCACTTGTAACCATTGGCATGCTTTCCAGTGCAAAAGGCTGCTCTAGACAACACCATCCAGTATTTAGTAAATGTAATTATCAGTATGCATCATTTGATTGGCCCAGAAAGCATGGAAACATCAGGTCAAAATTGTCAAAGCCCCCCCCCCCCCAAAGTGCTTAAAGGGGGCTTAAGCCAAATGAGGGTTTAAATGGTCAGTTTTGCTTGGAACATCCAGTGTCCCAGAATGTGACCTAGTGCATTTTGATGCACAATTTTTGTTCACAAGATGCTCAGAAAGGGAGGGGGGTGGGGCAGAGAGAAGGGGACAGAGACCATTGCTGTCCTTTCCACCACAAGCAGTGAGGGAGCTATGCTGCCTTGCCACCCCCTCTCCCTAATTTCACCTCTGAGCTGGTACATTTGAACAGTACACAAATTATTGGCAGTGCTTTAGACTGCAAATTGGAGTTTTCTAATCCATGGATTGCAGGAGCCTGAAGCATTTGACTGTATGTCCCTTGTGAGGCAGTTCTTACTACTGAAACCGAAGCCTGCTGTTTACTGCCATGCTACAACCACCCATGCTAAATGTTCTCCTTCTTAACAACATATCCAAACACAATTTGAGATTTTTACACATATGGTGCCTTGCATGGACAGATGTTCAACCAGTGCAATTTGCCACACAGGTTTGCCACACAAAGTAGAACATCATAGATGTCTTCACTTCTTTTGCAGACACAATGTCCCTATTTAAGAAGCCCAAGAAGAATATACGCCAGCGAGTGGTTGTCAATTATAGTGATGAAGAGAATGAGGCAAGCAATGAGGCATTAGAAACCACAACTAAAGCAGATAATGATGACAGCATGGATGGGATTGGAGACTCAAAAGAGAACAGTATGGATACTAAATTGGAGAAGAAGAAAAAGAAGAAAAGAGAAACAGCAGTTGTAAGTTTTATGGATGAAGGTAAGACCACATTACGTTTTTTTCTGGCGTCTTTCTTGGATAAACAAGGCGGCTGCATTGGTCGTGTGGGAGCCCAAGGGTTTCGTGACAGCTCAATGTGTGTGATGATTAATTGTCATTTGTATCTTTACATGAAGATTTCCATATACAACATGTCTTCAATAACCTGCTGTTATGTGCTGGATGCACTTTTTGGATGCAATGGGGCTGGCACTCACATTTATTGCGTGATTTGTAAGACAGTGGTCGGTTTCCAGAGGAAGAAGGAGAGGTGTTTCAAGTGAAAAAGTCGAGCCAGAGCAGAAGGCTTGCAAAACAAATTGAGAAGGAGAAGCGAAGGAGAGAAATGCTGGAGAAAGAAGCTAGCAATGGAAATGAAGCAGATATAAAGGCATGTCCAAAATCTTTGCCATACGGAAACATACTGGCCTTCTTGTGATGTAACAAGCAAATATGTCATAGTGTTCAGGCTTAAAAAGTGACCTAAGGGGCCCTTGCGATGCAGCTCGTTTTCAAGAGGGTATATATGGGTTGCAATGCTATGTGTCGCGGATTATTCTAGTGTGCATCGGCCAGCGTGGCCTTCATGATTCGACGTCCAGCATTGGCCGACGCTCTGAGCGTTGTCCGCAGCGCGGCCGTCCGTGCCCCTGTGCCTTACTGGCAGCACGCCGACAGTGTGACCCCCCCCCCCCCCCCACCCCTGCTGGTGTGCCCTGCCGCCGTCCTGCGGTCCGATGACGGTGCTGCGCGCGGCCGGCAGCTGGAGCCCGTGTCGCCGCCGGCCGTGCCGAACGCTGCTGAGCCGGCCGAGTCGGCGCCGCGGCCCGCCGTGCTGAGCGGCCGCGCCGCTGAGATGGCCGGCTACCACAGCTCGGACGAGGACGAGAAGCCGGCCGGCCGCCGCCCCCTGCACCGCTTCACGCCGCGTGCCTCGCTCGACAACGTGCTGAAAGGTGGGAGCTGCCGGCGGCGGCGGCCCGACCCCGCCGGCTCGCCAGCCGACGGCGGCTGGCGAGCCGCACCAGTTACGGTTGTCTGAGAGCCGTATGCGTTTTACTGGTGAAGCCGTCATGCGCTATGCATTTGTCAGTGGATAACTGCCCTTCAGGGGATAACAGGGGTGCGTGTGCGTGCGCGTGCTGGCTGGTAACCGGTGCACATGTGCGCGTGCAGACGGTGCCATCCCGGACGCGGCCACGATCCACGCCGTGCGTAAGCGGCGCGAGCAGGCGCGGCGCCAGCAGGAGGCCGCCCCCAACTTCGTGCCGCTCAGTCAAGACGGTGCCGGGTGAGTGACGTCGCCAGCCCGGAGCGGCGCGGCACCGGCACACATGGACTGGGATACTGCTGAGCCGTGTATGTTGACATGCTGACTCGTGGATTGTCGAGGAGATCAACAGGACATAGGATGGAGCGCTGTGCGTGGTCGATTTATTCGCTTTCCAACTGATTCTGACTCCAAAGGATGATGCGTTTTCAACGTTGCTTTTCGTTGTTGGGTTCAGTTGAGTTCCTCTGTCGACGACACCTGACGTGCTTGCTACGCTGTGTGGCGTCGCGTGCACACCTGGTGACCGGGGGTCCCGCCGTCAGGTCGGGGGCCGGCGGCCGACCAGCCCATCAGGAGGACGACGACAGCGGGCCCGATGACGACCGGGTCACCTTCACCGTCAGTACGGCGGCGCGAGACCGCGAGGCCCGCCGCGACCAGTTCAACGCCGCCAGGGATCAAGGTCCGTGCTGAGGCTGCGACCGCGGGTGCCTCAGTGTCGGGGCACGCGTTGGTCCGGCCAGGACCGGGGCGTGTGAACAGTACAATGGGGTGTACTCAACAAAAGGGCCACTTTTCAGATGCAGCAATTCATGTAAAAGCACTTGAAATGGAAGGAAGCATCAGTATTAAGCATGACACACTGAAGCAACACGGTCTCAGACTCTGTACTATGAAACACAGGTGCATATATATGGGTTTGCAATTTATGACAGGCTGTGTGTGGTAACCACCCTCCAAAATGGCGGGTGGTTACGCACCAGGCTTAAACACCCTCCAAAATGAAGGGTGGCTACGTACCGGGCTTATACGCTCTCCAGATTTCCAACACTGCTGTGTGTGCTGTCTGCATGATTCGGTCTGGCTGGGCCGAGCTGCCTGCCAGAGCGGCACTGTGGACGTGTCTGTCGGCGGGGCCGGCGCGGTGTATCGATGGGAAGCTGGGGCGCTGAGGCCGGCTGGTGTGCTGCAGAGGACGAGCATGCGTCGGACGGTGACGACAAAGAGCTCGCCCGCTGGGAGAACCAGCAGATCAAGAAGGCCTTCTCCGGACCGCAGGTACGCACCGGCGTCGGCGGCCGGCCGTCTTACACGGGATTCTGGAGCATCTTTGCCAGTGGGAGCATTTCCGATTTGAGACATTCATTTTCAGTCGATCTTAAGGAGTGTGGGACTGGGTCCAGTAAATAATGCATATTGGCTTAGCCTGCTCAATAGCCCAAAGTCGAGATGGTTTTTCGGCTTTATTGGACAGGCTTGCAGTCTTGCTTTGCTGTGCCGAACTACATGTTCACAGAATGATGTGTATTTGGAACGTGCTTATTTCCATGTGCATTGCTTTATAGATCCAAAGTCTCGAGAGATTAAGAGTGCTGCCAGCGAACACTGGTGGCGGCGCACCGAACGCTGTGTGCAGTTGCCGCAGCACCAGCACCTTCGCAGCGTACACTAACTTACACGCTGGCGAGCAACGCGGTCCGTGGCGGCTGCGGCCGTCGGGCCGCGACGTGCAGTGGGTCCGTGGCCGCCGCTGCTTGCGGGCGTCGGGCCGCCGCATGCAGTGCGCCCGCTGCGCAGCTGCTCTCTGACTGGCGCGCCGTCTACAGCTGGCGTCGGTGACGGCCGAGCACTACCTGCTGCCGACCGGGGAGGCGGACGAGCCGGGCGGCGCGGCGACGCGGCTGGCTGACCCGCTGGGCCGCCGCCAGCGCCGGCCGCTGGCCGAGCTGACGCCGCACGCCGTGAGGCAGCGTCTCCAGCAAAAGTACGGTGTGAGGGGCCGGGCCGGAGGGCAGGAGCCGCCGCGCCCGCCGGACACGCCTGCCCCCGCGCCGCCACACGTCACCCGCCGCACTGTGCTGGCCGGATGTCCTCGTCCCTGCCGTGGCCGTGTGTTGACGGGCATCCCAGTAAAATGTACGGTGCCACACGTGTGTGTTGTGCGCTGCCCGGTTGGCTTCGAAGTGGCGGGAATGTGTTGACTCCAGCGGCCCGTGGCTGCGCGTCCGCGCTGGCGGGCGTGGCGTGACGTAGTCCCAGGCCGCTGGGCGACAGCTGCGGCGGCAAGCCGTGCTGGTGCGGTGTCTGACCCGTGACCTGACGCGCCAGGCTGGGGGAGCTGCGGCTGGCCCAGTCCGGTCACGTGGCGGCGCGTGACCGGGCGCTGGACGACCTCGTGTCGGGCCAGTCGGAGATTGACCGGCTGGAGCGCGAGGCGCCCCGCGCCTTCCGAAGATACCAGTACTACCAAGATATCCGTGGGTATGTCACAGATCTGATAGAGTGCTTTGACGAAAAGGTATGTATTTTTCAGATCCTTTTTTGGTCGGGTGGGGTTCAGTCACGTTATGTGAACGAGTCTGGTGTTCGGTGTCGGCTTCCAGCGGATGTTGATGTCGCGTGGGTTTCTTGCCCAGCTTTCTCCGTTCCGTCACTGCCGTGGAGAGGTTTCCGTGTCAAAAGCTTACGGAAACTACTTAATTTCACCTCTTTGTTACCGCAACATAGGCAACTACCAAGAGCATTCTCCTTAGAAAATATCGTGTATGTATCACATAGATTCGAATCTTGGATCAGTGGCACATATAACGTCTTGAACTGTACTGTTCACTCGCAAACTAAATGTAATTGTGCAATCTGTGGCCACGACTTGTCGGCTATGGGGTAGTGATTCGCGGTGTGGAGAGGACCGTTGCACCCCACCCCGCTCCCCAGATGGAACTGTGCGCACGGTTACCGTTCCGGAGAAGGAATACCTGTTGCCTGTTACGTTTTGAAGCCCATTCCCAAATACCAAGTCATTGTGACCCAAACAATGACGACTGTCGCTCTGAAAGTGGCGTGACTGTCAAGCCCGCTTGAAGCTGTCACATGCAGTTTGCATCACGTGTCTCAAATTGCGCCGTTTTTCCTACTACATCGGTGTACATTGCTAAACCTATTGAGCCCAGTGTATCGTCCGTTTTCTTCGTTGGCCCGGCAGTATATGCGAACAATCAGCGGGCAGGTGTTTGACGCCTGTCCAGACCGTCTGTCAGACTGTTGGACGCTTGCGCAGGCTCCCACATCGTCCGGATCGGGGGAATGGACCACGCTATATTGACACCAGGGCTCAGTATCAGGCGAATTGTGCTAGTCACCCGGAAGAGCCATAAACTGCACGCGCTGCAGAGCTTTATGCAGAGGACTCGTTTGCGTCGGGCTTCGCGCCACTGCCTCTGCTGGCGCGGGATGCAGGCGAAATATGGCCCGCCCCGTAACTTGCAAACTCAAACGTGTGTGGCTAGTTCCCACTGATGTCACTTCGGTTTCCAGCGGGCCCGGCATTTCCATGTGCGCCGGTACACTAACCAATTTACAGGATTGTTCCAGCGAGCTGTTCGAAGGGGCGGCTACACTTGTTTGGATGCCACTTTCATATCGTTTGGGGATTGGTCCACGTAGCAGTTTGGGGATTGGTCCCGGACAACACGAAAGCATGCCTGACGGCATGCTTTCGTGTTGTCCGGGGTTGTGGGTATGCTTTAGCCGTCATGATGTGGAAACGGTTTAATTACTTCTGGGTACACGGTGCGGACGGGCGGTGCTTTATTAGCTTATCTACGAATGGTCAGATCGTAACACGTCAGAGCCAGCACCTTGTCTCGTGGCTTTTTCTCGTGACAGTCATGGCTTTTTCTCGTCCCCTCTGGAGCGGGCCCCGGAGACGAGGCGGGGCTCCCTGTACATTCTCTCTTGAGGCAGGACAGCCCATGCCCTCGTCCCTTGTGGAACGGACCCCAGAGACGAGGAGGGCCCGCTCTCCTCTCGCGGGACAGGACAGCCGATGCCCGCGTGTCCTCTGGAACGATGCGAGACGGAAGCGAGGCGGCGTTGTTAGGGACACCATGGGATGTATGTTTGATGCCATGGCGACAATTGCACATGACTTCTTGTTGAAGCTGTGTTCAGTTTTGCAGCGTGTTGGGCGGTCCGATGCCCTGTTCGGCAGTGATTAGCGCCAAACACCTGACCTCGGACATCCTTCAACGCCAGGGAGCCAGCTGAGCCGCCCGCGTCATTCGCTGCTGCGTCGCTGACTCTGCCGTCTATCAACAGATGGCGCTGATCGAAGAGTTAGAAGGACGTATGCTGGAAGTGCTGCGTGCACGCTCCCAGAAGCTAATATTGCGGCGCCGCGCTGATGTGCGTGACCAGCGAATGGAGCTGGACAGCAGCACACGTGAGTTCCGCCTCGAGCGTGCAGGCGCGGACACCTCGCTGCCTGGTGCGAACCAGCTGGCACCGACTCGGCTGATGGCGATGACGTCAGTTGGTGAGGCTGTGCTCGGGTCCGGTCTCTCGCTCGGTCAATCAGGCCCGGGTAGAGCCTGCGGTCCACTTGCCTTGTTTTGTACTATCTGCAGTCGCCAGATCGCAATGGAGGTGAGCTGGTAGCTTGTGTCATGGCGCGGCCCATTTTCCATATTACAGCCTGCAAGCGGAGCTAGTGCGGCCGAAATTTTACGACTGGCTGCTTGTGGTGCGCATTCTTGCGGGGTACTGGTTTGTATCGGAAGCGACGAGTGCGTACATTGTCAGGGGTTTGTCCCCGTGGTTCCGGCGCGCTCTGTGTTAAATACCCCGGGTCACCCTGCCCCGTCGTTGGGTGCGTGCGCAGATGATGTGCACACTGAAGAACACCATGGATGTGCACCTCTAGTTCATGGGTCAAAACGTTTTTGTCATGCTCGAGCATACAGTGCGCCTTTTTCTAATACGATGGGACATTTTCTATGATGCTGCCGGCAATCGGCATACAAGTGGTTTGGTTTTAGCTGCCATTGATTGAGGGCTTCGGGTGCGACAGCTCACCGAGCACGCGGTTCGTTTCATTGTAACCATGGCAACACCTCGTAGCACTCGGTTGTCAGTTGATGTTCTGCGTCGTGCAGCGATGTAGCGGGTCTGGGTGCACTGCTCGGAGCAGAGCGTCTCTGTGCTCCCCTGGAGTTCGCTGTGGTAGGGGGACAGGACAGCACAGAGCGTCTCTCTGCTCCCCCTGACGTTCGCTGTGGTATGGCGACAGGACAGCACAGAGCGGCTCTGTGCTCCCCCTGACATCCGCTGTGGTGTGGCGACAGGACAGCACAGAGCGTCTCTGTGCTCCCCTGACATCCGCTATGGTATGGCGACAGGACAGCACAGAGCGTCTGTGTGCTCCCCCTGACGTCCGCTGTGGTATTGCAACACAGAGCACAGAGCGTCCTGACATCCGTTGTGGTATGGCAACAGGACAGCACAGAGCGTCTCTGTGCTCACCCTGACATCCGCTGTGGTGTGGCGACAGGGCAGCACAGAGCGTCTCTGTGCTCCCCTGACATCCGCTGTGGCATGGCAACAGCACAGAGGATCTCTGTGCTCCCCCTGACGTCCGCTGTGGTGTGGCGACAGAGCGGGCCGGGGTGCACTACTCGGAGCAGAGCGCCGATGAGGTGGCCTCGCGGCGTCGGCGGGCGGCCGAACGCGAGGGTCGCCGCACGCGGCGGCGACGTGCCCGCGAGCTGTCGGCTTCTGGCGGCGCTGACCATCCAGACGGCCTCAGCTCCGACGACGAGACGGCCGCCACCGACGGCGACCAGTTCCAGAAGGACAGGGGTGAGCCGAACATGCCCTGTCTGCGCCGTGGCCGTCGCTGTTGTCTCTGTCTCTGTCTCCGTCTGATTGTCGACTAAATCACCCCAGTGGCGACGAACTCCGCGACACAGTATGCTGTTTCGGGTGGATGGCGTGGTCAAGCAAGCACGTTAATGCATGCTGGTCTTGCACTGGGAAGAGGATAATGCCCCACTCACTGGGCACCAGTAGGAACTGCCTTGGTGCCGGTGTGAAGCGAGTTGAAATTAGCCCCATTTTTGTGCTGTTCCTATGAGTTTGCATCCAGTTGAATGCGGGTTTGGCCCCTAAGTTTTAAGGCCCCTTCCCGGGGCCTTAAAATTCAGGAGTCGAATTATCCTGCAAATTGCCTCACACGGTTTCTTGTTGTCTGATCTATGCATGCACAATTTAGAGTTGCGACGAGAGAGAGAAACATATGCTCTGAGTCAGCGAACAAAAATCGTAGTTGCCTTGCTTTGAACGCAATTATTGCGTTTTGCCGTATCTCCAAATGGTGTGCACGGATCCTGATCCTTTAGCCTGGTTGGAAAAAAATGTTAACATTAGGTTCTACATTACGTTTCTTTGAAGCGTGATACAGTACAAAGACTCACTTCGTCAAAATATGCAGTAGGTCTCTTTTGAACTACCTGCTGAAGAAAATGCATCAACTGTCCACATTCTCTAGAAGTATCATTGGCAGCACATTGTTCTTGAAGTTTTGAAGCTTAAATTTTGCTGAGCTCCAGACCCCTGTCAAGCAGCCAGTGTTCGGGGACTAGCGCGGACAACGCAGCGATGAGCTCATGGGGAGGTGGAGGAAAGGCCGAGGGTCGGCCGTCAGCCCTGCCGGCGCCGTGTGACCTCGCACTGACCCCAGCCTGGGCCCCGCCAGACGCCGTGCTGCATGACGCCGCCGCCGTCATGGCCGACGTGGAGGAGGACTTCAGCACGCTGGCAGGCGTGTGCCGGCACTTTGTCGAGTGGCGTCGCATTGACGCGCAGGCGTACCGCGACGCCTACGTCAGCCTGTCGCTGCCGCGCGCCCTGGCGCCGCTCGTGCGCCTGCAGATGCTTGCCTGGAACCCGCTGGCCGAGGGGGTACGTGTCCGCGCCGCCCGCGGGGGCGGCCGCCGTGCGGCGCTCACGGGTCCGCCACCTGCTGAATGCTCGGACCCGGCTGGTCCGGTGATGCTTTTCGCGGAGTTAGCCCCGTGTAATGGTGCTGTTACCCGGAGATAACGTTCCTGGCTGTACTACTCGGTAGGGCACCTGATAATTATGTGCATTTGCATTTTTGTTTGTGGCGCGTTCGAGAACATCCATAAGTCTCGTAAGTCCCAGTTGTCCACATGACAGTTCAAGGCTACGGATGGTTGATAATATTGGGTAGGCAAAGCTTAGGTCATAGTGGCTACGCTGGTAACCGAGCGAACGCGCGGCGGGTGACCCGTACGGCCGTCCACGCTCAGCAGGAGTGTCCGGAGCTGGGGTCATGCCTGGATCGACGGGCTGGCGATGACTCTATGCTGGTGGCGACATCGGCAGGAATGTCCGGAGCTGGAGAGTCACGCCTGGTTTGCCGAGCTGGTGGTGTTCGGCGCCGACCGTGCAGCTGACTCCGAGGAGGCGCTGCGCGACGACCCCGACTGTCTGCTGGTGTCGCGCGTGCTCGAGCGCGTCGTTCTGCCCAAGATGACCGGTACGTGACCGGCCGCGCCGAACGGCCCTCGCCTGGCTGAGCTGGTTTGGACAGTCGCCGGCGGTGGTTCGGCCGAGGGCCGGTAGCCGTGAGGACGGGGGCCAGCTGGCAGGGCAGAACGGATGAAGTGTTTGCACCATCGCGTGTGATCTTTCGATACGTGAGCCAAGCTGCGTTGTACCCTGAACCAGCCAGCTTTGGGTTCATAGTTTGAAGTCTGAGCCTGAGCGTTCTTTCGCCAAGTTGAGTAGGAAAAAGTCGAGTTGACCATTAGCGCTCTTTGCAAAAAAAAGAAGTTTTGATGACACGCCGGGTTATGCTGGCGCGATCGGTGGTAGCAGCATGTCCGACAATTATTGTGTAGGTAGCGCATTTATAACCCATTTCAGTTCAGCATATGCAGACCACGCGTGCGAAGCGCCGTCTCTAACGTGGTTGTCTGCGCCGCAGCGCTGGTGGACCAGGTGTGGGACCCGATGTCGAACGCCCAGACGCTGCGGCTGGTGCACCTGGTGCGCCAGCTAGTGCGGGACTATCCGACTGTGAGCGGCACCAGCGGCCAGCTGCGCCGACTCCTGCAGGCCGTCGTCACCGCCTTCAAGGCCAGCATCAAGGACGACGTCTTCGTGCCGCGCTTCCCCAAACAGTCAGTGCGGCTGGCTGCGTGCCCGCCTCCCCAAGCAGTCGGTACCGCGGGCTGGGTCGAGACCCACGTTATCTCCGTTGATCACCAGTCAGTTTCAGACATATGCGCGGATTCTGGGAATGAATCCTGAATGCCATGAAATCTTCGGACCAAGCTGTACTGGGATCGTGGACCCTGGGAGATCATTCACAAAACTTCGACGTGGTCCCCATCGCAGATCACAGGAGAGGAAAAACCTTGGGGCGCTGGTCCATGGACAAAGTATGGATACCCATTGGACGTGTCAGGTTCACGTGCCACGCGTCGCACTACTTCGAATGCGGGGCTTGGGACACGGCCGCAGTACAGGATAGCGCCTCGATTGCACCGAACTGTAGAGCTGCTCTCGCCAACCGTAGCTTCAGCTTTCAAGTCGAACTTTCGGGCTAGCATGGAAAGCATTCCATTGGTTGTGTGCTATTTTCGAAGTTATGGAGCACCTGTGGTTGGCCGTATGCCAGTTGTCGTGGATCGCGTCCGTCCGCCCGGCTGCGTTGGTGACCGCGGTGCTGCAGCAGCAGTGGACGTGGCTGAGCTGTGCCCACTGCTGCTGCTGCTGCTGCTGCTGGGGCGCCGCCGGCCCCGTGTGCCCCGCTGCGCGCCTGCAACGCGCCGTCTTCCGCCGCCGGCAGGGTGCTAGAGAGCCGCTCCACGCCGGCCGCCGCCTTCTTCTACCGCCAGTTCACCAGCTGCGTCAAGCTGCTGGGCAACATGCTGAGCTGGACGGAGCTGCTGGGCGACGCGTGCCTGCAGCAACTGGCGCTGGGCGATCTGCTCAATGACAGCATGCTGCTGCCGCTGACGCTGGTGCCCGACCCGGTCGAGGCCGTCAACAAGTGCAAACTGGTGAGGCGCGCGTCCGGCGTCCACGCCTCACACCTCGCCGGCGGCGGCTGACATACGAGCGGGGCAGAGGCACCGTCTGTCGAGCCGCTGTGGATGCGCGGGTGTGGTGCCGCCGTTCATGTGCTGGCCAGGTCTGCCGGCCGCTACTCAGTCGCGCGGCATGGCCGCTTGAGTGTGAGCAGTACGTGGGAGTGTCCGCTTATCGGCCCGACCTGTGTGTGGTGGATGAGCCCGTTCACGTTCATATCGGCGCGCCCGTGCCGGGGGTCGTCAGGCGCCTCCGGTCGGTTCTGCGGAGCTGACGGGCAGCCGGGCTGGCACATGGCTGACGGTGCCCTCTGACCGGCAGGTGGCCAGCGCGCTGCCCCGCGCCTGGTTCCAGGGCGACGCCTCCCTGCCGCAGCTCAACATGTTCGTCAGCTACCTGACCATGCTGGCCGTCCAGCTGAACAAGACGGCCAGCAAAACGTGAGTGGGGAGACGTAGGGTTTTGAGGACATTGCTTTGAATTCCGTGCAAAAACATCGTTTTGCCCTGCCCACGAAATGCCTTCCTGTGGATTCCATCTCAACGAGCAAAAAAGAAACTCCCTTGATCAAAACAGTCACCAGGCCATGTTCTTCTCGTTCGCCGAGTTCGTTTGTGAGCTGTTACCGTTGCGTTACCTGTGTAGGCTCAAACCATGTGTGAGGAAGCCACCCGCAGCCTTCCTCGTCGTGGTACGTGCTAGTTCGGTGCCCCGTCCACCCGGCGCCAGCCTACGGAGGCGGCGGGTGGCCCTGCTGTCGTACAGCGACGGCACGGCGACCTTACTGCGTGCTCTGACGGCGTCCTCGCCCCGCCCCGCCGCAGCACGCCGCTGAAGGCCATCGTCGCCATACTGAAGAAGGTGGGCGCCACCGAGGCCCACAGCAAGGTGTCGGCCATGCTGGAGTGAGGGAGCGTCTGCGGTGTGCCGGCTTGGCGCCCCCCCCCCCCCCCGTGTCACCGCCGGGGGAGGGTGCGTACCGCTGTCCGGTGACCGTGTGGTGCTGACCCCGCTGGAGGGCGTAGCGCCGGCTGCTGGCCGACAGTCAGCTGAATACATGTGGCGGCTAGGGGAGTGCTCCGCCATCAATCGTGACAAACAAACTGGTCGAATACATGTATATTGCCTGCCTTTGCCGATCTGTGTGACAGGGGCGGACGGAGACGTCTCGCAATGGCGGGTGAATGGACCAGTGTGCGATGACATACGAGATCACGGACAACGGGAAACAGCTCCCTGAATTCATCAACATGGAGCAGAATCCGGTGCTATTTCTGGACGGCTGAAGCCAATATGGCTCGAACACCATGGGGCTCGCCTGCCGCCTCGAGCGGCACGAGGTGTGCACAACTTGCTCCAATATTACATTCCTAGAGTGAGTAATACAAAATCACCGGGTTCAAAAGGCAGCGATTCGATTCCAATAAGTCACAGACAGATGAAATACCGCCACTTATAGTTGTGTCGTCGGCAGTACAGTTTACGTGCCGAAACACTCATACCTTGCGGTATTCGCTTCCTACTGAGCCTCGTGTCAAGGCCGAGGCTTGTGAGCCGGCAGCGTAAGCGGCCATCTGACGTACAAAAGTACATCGACAAGTTTGTAGACAAATGAGTATTTTAATATATATATATATATATATATATATATATATATATATATACGCTTGCATGTGTATGTAATCTCTGACGGTTTGACATCACAGTGACTTTTACGCCGCAAATAAGTTAACTGCTGGAAGCAAGAAAGTCCCAGGCTTTCACTTCCACACTTTCGGATCTTACGCTGCTAATGACATTTTCAATGTCGTCCAATGAAAACCTGAGTATTTCTCCGAGACCACTCGTGAGGCGACCCATCCGCGAGATTCGGAGATCACAGGATAGGCTAGGGCGTGGGGAGAGTCTCTCCCTGCGTGAAGCCGGATTCCCGGGAGCCGCGCAAGACAATCGGTTAGGACAGTCTCCCCACAGCCTCTATGCTGCCTCATGGCATACGCAAGCATACTATGCGATCTAGTGAATATGGTATGAGACAGGAGGTTGACATACAACCGTGATGCAAACGAACAATGCAATTTTCCGACGAGTGCAGAAAAGAAGCTGCGCCAGTTGTCATACCCACAGCACAGCTATGGTCATTCGGCGTGTTTCAGCACCACCACTGCACATCAAAACTGAATGTCGCAGGTGAATCGTTTACAAAGAATGCCTGGCGATCTGGTGAGTCCTACCAGCACCATCCAATTCACATAGCCGTGCCAACGTTTCATTGTGCAACACTCCATTTTTGTACAGGTACATATCATGAACCGATGAGTCGGGAGTCCGTATCCTTTGTGAGCACTGCGCTAGAAAGGAGCACTGAGCACAAAATACGGCCAATATCCTACAAAAATAGCTGCGTACCCAGTCTAAAACACCGGTTTCCTATTTACTTAGTGCCTAAGCGCGTACACGCTTCCTGCCAGGAGTCGTATAGCACGACATGGTCAGAGTGGAAGCGACAGCAGTGTAGTCCAGACTTTGGACCGAGCTGCCGGCGCCAGCGGGCCGCAGCCTCACACGGGCAGCACGCGCACGGCCGCCGCGTCCAGCGCCGCCGGCTGGACGGACGGCGCCAGCGCCCGGGCCAGCATCAGCGGCAGCGCCAGCTCCAGCGCCAGGTAGAGCGCGGTCGGCAGCGGCGGCGTGCTGCCCAGTGGCCAGAGCCAGAGGCCACGCCGCTCGGCGTCTCGCACGTGGTGCGAGAGCGCGGCGGTCAGCAGCAGCGCGGCCGCCGTTCGCCAGCTGGTGCGCGCGCCGGCCGCCAGGGGCGCTGCCAGCATCAGCCAGGGCGTGGTAGCGTGCAGGGGCGGTCGCGTCGGCAGGTTCACCCACGTCCTGGCGGCGGGCGGCATGCGGCCGCGTCACTGACAGGCCAGGGGCGGCCGCATGCACGGCATACAATCGCCAATGCCGATGACGTCGACGTGCCACGGCCAAATCGTCATTTCCTGGCTCTTTTACAAGCGAGCACAATCGACTGGTTTTGGCGAATAGCTTTGGACGCTTACACTTGCAAGTAATTAGACTGTAAAGACCTGATGCCCTCTGGCTAGCATGGAAATTCCAGTTCAATGAATGATTTTACTTCGACAGATTAGCTAAGTATGCCTTAATGGTTTTAACATGATGTGCAGCACATTGTCGCCAACGCATTGAGGCAGCCTGGCCCTCGTGATCAGCTGCCAATGGGCTGAGAGTTGACCCAGAAGCATTATTTCTGTGACACAAATATACATGCCTGCGGAACTGCATGACCACACCTGATAACAGCACATTGGGAGCTGACAGATGCGCACGCGAGCATGAGCGTCCAGTAAACCCACAAGCGATACCTGCCGCTCAGCAGACAGCTGGGCGAACTGATTCGCCGAGGCAGCACGGAACTCAAGCTCCTTGCGCGGCGCATCGGCCACTGCCAGAGGACGCAGAACTCACGTGGATGTCCAGGCTGCCCGCCATCAGCACATGGTCCAAGTCGATGCCGGCGCCGACGATACCGGCGGCCGCAGCCAGGCGCCAGCTGACTGCGGGCCAGCTGACGGCCGCCCAGGAGAGCAGCGCCACGACGCCGTGCGTGGCCGAGTCAAGAACGGCTCGCGGCCAGCACGGGCCGGCGGCGGCCGTCAACCGCAGCGCCAGGTCACCGAGCGCGCAGGTCATCAGCGTCAGCATCAGTGGCACCAGCGGCGTGTCCCAGCACAGTGACATCATGGCCAGGGGGACCCACACCAGCTGCAAGCCAGCACACTCTGACACACGCTGGCGATCTGGACGAGCTGCTGTGCTGTTGAGACTGCTGCAGCCGTCATCTGTAACCAGAGCAGGAAATTCACCTTCATTTTATGGTTGTCTCATGTACAAAGCTTCTACCTGAGAGTGCCAGCTTGATTGTCACCATCTGGGTATCATAGGTGTAGGAACATTTCAAAAAGTGGGGGAGGGGGGGGGGGCAAGCTCAGGGTGTACTTCAGGAACTTTTTCTGGAAAGCGAGCCTGATGACCAGGGGGGGGGGGGTAGGGATGGAGGTTGTTACCACTCTTTATTCAGCAAACATCAATCTTTATCATGCTGCCTGCAACACAAGCTAGATAAGCTGCATGCTGGTGACAGCAGGAGGAAGAGGCTGGCCCTGATTGAGGACATGTGTACAAGCTGACTGCCAAGCCATGAACATCAGCCAGCATGAAACCAGCTTTAAAAATCACTGCTAGGGTCCAACTCAACTCTCTAAGAATGGCCAGCTTCCATTCTGCTGAGAACACTTTTCCAAAACTGCAGCACTTTTAACACCCTCCTTAATGTAACCACATATATGCATATGTATATATGTATATGTATATGTTCTTAATCATAAACATTACACTAAACCAGGGGCTGGCTATTTCATTTACCCATATTATGAAAACCTCTTATGGCTAGCCACCCATGAGTGGCATGGATGGCTAGCATTTGGCAGTCTGGAGTATATCTACACCCATTTTTCCTAGAGTTTTTGTATTCCAATTTTCGCTTCTGATTGTCATGCTGACCATTTGCCATCTTACATAGGTAACATTTCAATAAAAATTGACATGATCATGCTTGATTTGTCTCATACCTGTTTCTTTATTTTTACAGAAAGGCAATTAGAAGACAAGACAAATGATGGCATCAGTCAGGTCTATAATTGCTATTTTTACCTCCCATTATACACATATATTGTCTGGTGGCATGCTGTCAGTCCCATCCAAGAGCTTCTACAAACTGGAGTCCTAGCCTCTACAAATCCATTCATTGCACCAAACACCTGCACAACCCTGGTGCATTGAATCTGACACTTGTGTATGCAGAATTCAAGCTAGGAAAATTTCTGCATGTCTTAAAATTTTCTGCATGCAAAATTTGAAGCACTTTTGCATTAAATCACCTTAGCAACATCTAAATGCCCTAAAAATTGTCTCTCCACACACTGAAACTGGGGGTGTCTGTGCAGTGACACTGGGGGTGACTGTGCCTTGATCTCTGAATGCTCAGATTTATGGTGTGCATGCATACACATGTGTGACACCTGGTGTTTGGAAAAGTTCTGTCCAAAATGAGACAAGTTTAGATCACATACACAAAGCAGAATAGCAGGCACACAGGTACTCAGTATCAGAAACTTGGTTTTGGCTCCTGGCAAAGAGAATAAAAATATTAAAACCACAGCTTATAATGAGAACAAAATAATCCAAGTAAAGTGGCACAGCATTCACAGCTGGCACTAAAGGATGTTTTTTGGCAGCAAATGACAGTTAAGTTTACCATGTTACTTAGTGAGTAAACATCATGCTCTAGCAGGTCCCAGTGATTGCAAATAAATTACAAAAAACATTACAAATTGACTGCTTGCATTTCTTTAATTTTCTAGCTTCCTTAGTGCTTCCTTCCTGAGCCTGATGGAAGCAGATGCTTAAAATGTTGTGCACCTGTTGCACCATTTTCTGGGGCACATAATGCTCAGTTTATGATCCAAATGCCACGCAAGTGACAATATAAATAGGAGCATCTGGGGCATGGTAGTTAATGAATCTACATTCTAGCCAAGGTACAATCTTTCCCACCCAGAGGAAAGATTCTGGGGCAATGCAATACCCCCCTGGGCTTTTACTCACCTAGATGTACTTAATTTCGGAACAAGTGTGTAGTTCCCTATTTAGCTGGATAGCATGCTAGCCCCTCCACAACTTTGAGAACAAACTTGGTCAAAATCAGGCAGAACAGGGTTTGCACCGTTTCTTTGGGACAAAATATTTCTCTGCTCATCCGCTCCACAAAGTTATGTACAAAGCTGCACCACCTGGAACGTCCGGCTGCTACGTGATCGGGGCTCGTACGCCAACGCAGCAGGGGCGTAGGAATTATTTCCTCCTCACAGAGCAATACAGCCGCATAAAGTTAGCATCACTACATCTACTCACCGGCGTTGAGTCTGCTACAATACTTTTCTCAGTGTATGACATCGAGCTAAATTCATATATTGCATTTATATACACCACCACTCATCCGCGCCACCACCGCTCATCGCGCGGCTCCTCCAAAACAATCCCAGTACGCCACATAAATGGCGCGCACTCAATAACAGTCTTCAACAACAGGGCCGCTGTAGGTTATTTATCGGCTTTGATGTTACTTTTTAGAACCTTATTGATTTTGTAAAAGATATTGGTTTGCAAAAAAACGGCTCAAATAAACGGTAGATCTCAAAAGACGTAAATATTTAAATAAATATACTAGTAAAAGTTATGCTCAACGGAGGACAAGAAACCCTACTTTAGCTTTATACTCAGATCATGATTGTGTGGCGAAGCCCTGTAGATAGAAAGAAAAAAATTCATGCTTTTGTTTAGTGACCCTTTTATGCATTTTCATCACGTACTCAGCTCGGATTTCTTGGTCGAGAATATGCCTTCTCTCCAATGTTAAATCCTCCCCAAGGGTCGGAGGCTCGCGGAACCATGGTTTTCCGCGTGCCCGAGCGAGTGTTTGGGATGGTGCTTGACGTCACCATTAAACGTTCTATACAATACCGATTTTTGATAGTTTCAAATGCAAT